AACTGTCATTGTGATGGAAACGCAGCGGAGTGCAGTGATGACAGCGCGGTGCGGGCCACATTGCAAGGCCTGGCGGGACGGATTTGGCCCGCGGGCCTTGTGTTTGACACATGTGCTCTAAAGAATCAGAGCTAATTATTAGATATTGGTAGTTGAAGAAGCCTCCACCTGTTAGTCCTAAATTCACTGACTTGCTTTTATTGGAAGGACACCTATGGAGCTGCATTGGAGTCACAACAAAACAAAATGGTTTAGTTAAATGAAAGGATCCTGAATCTGGTTTATGGAAGGGACCCAATCCATTATTAACCTTTGGAAGAAGGTATGCTTGTATATTTCCAGAGAATTTTTCTAAACCCGTGTGGATTCCTGCTAGAAATATTGAACTGCAGCAGGGATCCAAGAAAGAAACTAGTCAGACTAACGAGGACCTCGCGTCTGGAGCCACATCATGCAGCCGCAGACAATCAATTGCACAGAGAGCAGAAACTCCAAGAAATCCACTGAGGATGATGAGCAGAAGGAGGATGAGCCAGACAACAAACAGCCCGGAGTCCATTTGGGGCATGGTAAAAAGGATGATACAGGCACCTGAGAATGTCTTTCTTGCCATGCTAGTAGTGATCAGCTGTATGGTAATATTACCTGGGGAAATAGGGAAGTATTTTTTACTTATGTTCCTGACTATTTATGGGTAAGAACCCTTATGTGGGCTGATCCCTGCCTAATGTAGTCATAAATAATACCAAACACCTTGGTTCATCCAGGAGGAACACGAGTGGGACAAGAAAGTTTAATTATACAGGTGTTGCCACCCAGTTTTCCTTTTGTATGACATAAAATCAAATAACTGCTCCTGTGTGTGTAAAATTAAAGAGAGGTGCCAAAACCAGTTTGGCTCAGTGGATAGAGAGTGTCAGCCTGCAGACTGAAAGGTCCCAAGTTCGATTCCAGTCAAGGGCATGTACCTTGGTTGCAGGCACATCCCCAGTGAGGGGTGTGCAGGAGGCAGCTGATCATTATTCTCTCTCATCTATGTTTCTAGCTCTTTATCCTATCCCTCTCCCTTCCTCTCTATAAAAAATCAGTAAAAAATATATTTTTAAAAAAATTAAAGAGAAGTTTCTGGCTTGCGTGGGTACCAAGGAAGCAGGGACTATCACTACTTGCTTCTGAGAGGAGTGCAGAAAATGTAACTAGATCTTGTATATATAAACAGAAATTGACAGCCAGTTTGAAATTGAATCATCATGGCTTAGAGCAAAGAATATCCTTACATGATATTATTCTACAATGTCATAATTCTTTATATTTTATAACAGCATATTGTACAATTATTCCAAACAAACAAACTTACAAACTAATTCTTTGATTGGCAATAAAAAGGATATGAAAGGATTTAATCCCTTCCACTGTGTGGAAGGCCCCTTGGGAAGGCACTTTAGCATTCTATGTTGGCCCCTCTTGCCCTTTTTACCAAGAGGGACCCTTTTATTACAATCTAATTGCCCACAGCTGTTGCCTGAGTTTTCTGTTCATGCTGAGGTTGAAACCTCGTAGTGGCTGGTACCATGGATCTGTCTCTCGATCAATGGTCTCTCACTGGGCCCTCCCTGGAGAAGAAACCTGGGTTCCCCAAGATCTGTGATCAGCAGAGGTGGGATCCTGAGGCGTGGAGGCCACGGAGGCATAGACTACCAAGGAGACAGAAATGAACCTGGCTGGCCCCGGAGGATGGCTGGTTAGCCAAAGATGGGTAAGATTCCTCAAGGAAGGAACAACCTAAGACAGGCACAGTTGCAGAGGGGCCATTAGGAGAGAACTTTGGGGTCAACAGGTGGGGCAAAGACCCTCACCCCCCCCCCAACCTTGCAGGAGTCTGGACCCTAGCCCCTTCTGAGGGAGGTCTCCTGCCCCATGGCTGCTTCACTTCCCACGTGTAGCTCAGATCGGGATCCAGTTAACAGACAGAGGCGTGGCCCAGCTCAGATTGGGATCCAGGTAACAGACAGAGACTTGACTGACAGCAGCTGACCTATATCTAAATCCAGTCTAGCATTGGGAATGCTCAGGGCCTACTCCAGAATGCAAACAATCCTTTCCACTAATATTATTAGGACAAACTCTAAGATTGTTATTAGAGTATTAAATTTGATAGTGAAATAGTAATCAAGTCTTCAGATTAATTTATAATAATTAGCTAATTGAAATAAGTAAATATTTAGGAGGGTTTAATTGTCAAAAAGTTGTTTCTAAAGTATTAACTAAAATTTTTGGTAGTTCATGATAAAATTGCTTGACATGCAATGAAATAAAGTAGTCATATTTTTGTGCAAAAAATTAGTTATCAAGACAGCATTATAAAAAATTTTCAAAAGCTTCCTAATAATTAAATCAAAAAAGGGGGGATAGTGGAGTAATATTATGTAAGGGAAAATATCCTGAAAGTAAATTACATATAGAAATTTTTTACTTTGAAAACTAATTTTTATTTGTAATGTAAACAGCAAATCACCCATGAAAAACACACATGGTGTCAAAATAGGTCAAGGAAAAATCGTTTGGGTAAGGACAGAAAGGATTACAAGTCAAATTTGGGGGGTGGGGGGAATTCCTTTAATAACTTCTGGTTGAGAATATGTTTGTGTATTTTCAGAAAACAACTCCAAGACTATGTGGATTAAAAGCAGTCCAGAGATGGAAAACGCTGACAATGCCTTGCCATACTAACAATCAGCAGCTGTATGTTGCTGCAGATTGCCCAGGACCAAGCCAGAGAGGGTCGGACCTACTTTGCTACCATTTTCTATCATCTAGATAACATTGCTGACATGTATACATGGAGAATTGTTGGACATTGACTTTGGGACTCAAATACTTTATTCTTATGTTTATTTCTAAAATTTGCAGATGTTTTAAAGAAAAGAAATGGGGGAGATACCGGAAGCCAATCATTACTTTAATAAATAGAGAGCTGTGGATGGAATTCAGCGGGCTGGTTAACCTTAATTGCTATAAAGCAGGGGTCTTCAAACTTCTCTCATTATGAGAATCACCTGGTGGAGGTGTTAAAACACAGATTCCTGATAGCACTTCTTATAGTTGGGATCCGGGAATCTGTGTTTTAACAACTCCACCAGGTGATTCTCATAATGAGAGAAGTTTGAAGACCCCTGCAAGGGTCAGAGCTAATTACTAGATATTGGTAGTTGAATAATCCCCCACCTGTTAGTCCTAAATTCACTGATTGGCTTTTATTGGAGTTTATTGCCCAGGTAGGGGTGTCGAACTCAATCAGAGAAGGGGCCAAAATCTAAAATCCAGCCTAAATCGCGGGCCGAATGGTTTACTGAACAGTCATAAACTGTCATTGTGATGGAAACGCAGCGGAGTGCAGTGATGACAGCGCGGTGCAGGCCACATTGCAAGGCCTGGTGGGACGGATTTGGCCCGCGGGCCTTGTGTTTGACACTTGTGGGGCCCAGGGGATAAGGGTGTATCCTATAATTTTAATCTTAATAAAAGGGTTGGAAAAGCCAGAGCAAGTAGTAGTTCTCCCACTAGACTTGGACTATCTTCTGGCCCCCATTTACCTAATTAAATCTTTCTAAAGTCTCTTTTCATTTGTGTGCACCTTCTCCAGAACCCAAACTCTGAACTGGACGCTGAAACACGCAGGACGTGAAAGGGGTTTCCACATTCACCCATACTATAATGGAAAATGCTAGAATCCTTGCTGAAACTGGTTTGGCTCAGTAGATGGAGCGTCGGTCTGCGGACTGAAGGGTCCCAGGTTCGATTCTGGTCAAGGGCATGTACCTTGGTTGCAGGCACATCCCCAGTAGGGGGTGTGCAGGAGGCAGCTGATCGATGTTTCTCTCTCATCGATGTTTCTGACTCTCTATCCCTCTCCCTTCCTCTCTGTAAATAATCAATAAAATATATATATTTTTTTAAATGCTAGAATCCAGAAGAATGAGAAGAAACCGCTTCATAAGTTACTAAAGATAAGCTGTCTAAGACTTAGTGTGCTTTATAAAGTTAGATTCATATCAGGTATGACCTAATAAGGAAATTCTTACTACTTGGTTTTTTATATTTTTCGCCTTTTTTAAGAGAAATGTCCTTTCTAAATTAATGTAAATATTATGTTCAAGTGTTATAACAAAGTTCTTTTATTTTTAAAATAACTGTGGTGAAAGTGGTTTTTATCTGGATCTTGACTTAAAACTCTTATAAACTGTCATTCAATTACAGACCATATAACCTAAACACTAAGTAGCTAATGATAGATACATGCAAGCAAAGTACCTCCCCCAAAAACTATTCACTTAAGGGTTAAAACTGTATATGGAAACACATTAAAAATATTATGTTACAGACACAAATTCCCAGAACTAATTCCTAATGTTCGGCCCCAAACTCCATACATTATTCTTTTAAAAATAAAAAACAAATCTGGTCTTCTTAGTTTTCAAAATTAAACTGCATGTTTATATTAAAAACCCGGTGGTAATATTTCAATATCATCTTTTTTTCTTTCAAAAAACAGCATATAAAAGAAAGTTCAACAAAATTAAGTGTTAAGTACTTAGATTAAATAATATCTAAAAGGTATGTTAAAGATGTAGAAAATAGAAAAGATATGTTATCATATCTTTTAAACATTATTTAATCTAGGTCATTACCTATTTGTATACATATCTTCATTTTATATCATATATGAATCTTAAAACATGTATATGTTCATCATATTATAAAGTAAGTTAAATGCATTGATACTTGTTTTTTAAAATAGTTCTATCAATCTATTTAATCAAGTATGGAACTATCATTAAGTTTGTGAATTAAGATTTGTCAGCTTTAAGATTTGCTACAAATTGGGTGCACCTGCATATGAAGATTTTCTTAAAGATCATTTCCAACAATCTTATTTTTAAGACTATTGGGATTCTTTCTAAATGTGGTAAGCTGGGCAAAATCAATACTGAACAACATACCTTTCAGATAATTTAAGGCTTTGGTGGAGAGGTTCTAATTTTTGACATGTCTCTAGGCTGTCAACAGATGTCGAAGGCAATGAGTCTGATTGCACCTTGTTGGCATCACATAAATTAGCATCGTTTCTAGGTAGAATCTTTCTGAATTTTCGTCCTAATTCCGTCCATAGGACATTCGTCAACATAACTTTGAGTTGCCTGTTACACACATAAATAATTAACACTAAACATTGTATAATACATGAATGCATCACAAATAATAACAAATGAAAACCTCCAGGAATTCTAAATTTCAGTTCTTGAAGCAATTAAATGGAATAGTAAACATCATAAGTAAAAAGTTTGCCTAACCACTCTCAAATATACATTAAAAAGTAAAGCCTATTTCACTTAAATTGGGATTGTCTTCAGAATTCTGTCTGTTATACTACAACTGTAGTGACACACCTTGTACAGCTGTTGGATTCCTGATAACCCATCTGTGTCTGTTCTCACTGTTAGTGGAACAATATACATCTGTACATATCATCACAGGGGCAACACTAAAAAATTTTTCTTTTAGCATTTATCAGGAAAACATTGCTAAAACTAAGGGTGCAATGGTAGATCATCTACAATCTTAAGCCTATATAATGTTAAAATACAGATTTAATTTTACTTTATTTAAAATAGGTCAATTTAAAACATTTACTTTTATTGTACCTATAACAATTTCAAAAGTAAAACTGCACCCTAGCTGCTTTCTCAATGGTTAAGAGCGTCAGCCTGCGGACTGAAGGTTCCCGGGTTCAATTCTGATCAAGGGCACTTGCCATGGTTGCATGCAGTTCCAGCCTTTTGCCTCATTACATTTTGTCCATTAATCATTCAATAATCATTGAGCTGATAATACTAGAACCATGAAATACAGTTTTTACAGTAGTGTAAACAGGCTACCAGTAGACTTGAAACACTATCAAATGAGGAATGGCTGAAGGATTTGGAAAGATTTAATCATATTTTTCTGACTGGCACCAGTTTTAGGCACCAGTTTGTTTGTTTAACAAGCATGAATATTAAGAAATGGAAAGCAGCCGAGACCGGTTTGGCTCAATGAATAGAGCATAGGCTTGGGGACTGAAGGGACCCGGGTTCGATTACGGTCAAGGGCATGTGCCTTGGTTGAGGGCATATCTCCAGTGGGGGGTGTGCAGGAGGCAGCTGATCGATGACTCTCTCTCATCGATGTTTCTAGCTCTCTATCTCTCTCCCTTCCTCTCTGTACAAAATCAAAAAAAATAAAAAAATAAAAATAAAAAATAATAATAATAAATAAATAAAAAAAGAAATGGAAAGCAGCTGAAACCGGTTTGGCTCAGTGGTAGAGCGTCGGTCTGCGGACTGAAAGGTCCCAGGTTCGATTCCAGTCAAGGGCATGTACATTGGTTGCGGGGCACATCCCTGGTAGGGGGTGTGCAAGAGGCAGCTGGTCGATGTTTCTCTCTCATCGACATTTCTAGCTCTCTATCCCTCTCTCCTCCTCTCTGTAAAAAATCAATAAAATATATTAAAAAAAAAAAAAGGAAAGCAAAATGCTCATATATTTGTGTTGTTGTTGCTGTTAATCCTCACTCAAGGACATCTTTCCATTGATTTTTAGAGAGTGGACGAGGGAAGACAGAAAAGGAGAGAGGGGGGAAAAGGGGGAGGGAGGGGGAGAGGGAAAGAGAGGGAGAGACGGGAGAGAGAGGGAGAGGGAGAGGGAGAGGGAGAGGGAGAGGGAGAGGGAGAGGGAGAGGGAGAGAGGAAGAGAGAGAGAGAGAGAGAGAGAGAGAGAGAGAGAGAGAGAGAGAGAGAGAGAAAAGAGATCAACTGGCTGCCTCCCACACATATCCTGATTGGGGCCAGAAATTGAACCTTCAATCCAGGTTTGCGCCCCTGACTAGGAATCAAATCCCAGATCCTTCAGTGCATGGGCGGACGCTCTAACACTGAGAACACTGGCCAGGGCAAGTGCTCATCTACATAAAACCCTAAGCGATCAGTTGACTGTTCAACCAGTCAACCATCTGACTGGTCGTTATGATGCGCACTGACCACCAGGGGCAGACGCTCAACACATGAACTACCCCCTGGTGGTCAGTGCGCTCCCACAGCTGCACTGCTCAGCTGACCCTGGGGCTTCACACACTGGGCATGCGGCTGGCAAGCGAGTGCAACTGCGGTGGCATGAGCCTCTCCTGCCTGTGCAGGCAGGGCTGAGATGAGTGGGAGCAGCACAGCACCCAGCCCAGCTTGGGGTCTTCCCCAGCCACCTGCCGCTTGGTGCAATACTACCTCCCTTGGGCCTGCAGGGATCAGGCAGAAACTGGCAATTGAACATCCCCTGTGGCGTCCCAGATTGTGTGAGGATGCAGGCCAGGCTGAGAGAACCCACCAGTGCACAAATCCATATATCAGGCCTCTAGTATATTTTAAAGACAAAACAGATCTCAATAAATCACTTGTTTGCAGCAGCCACTTGGGTCTATATATTCAGAGCATCTGGAAAGGGGGGGGTTATCAGTCTTCAGGGGACCTCCATGAATGCACTGAAACTCCAAACATTTTGAAATTTTAAAATATTAATCTTTAGAATTCTTATTAAGGAATAAAGAGATGAGTGGCATTTCTCTGAATGAATAAAAAGCATCCTTCTTTCAACAAAGACTTACTAAAGGCCTGCTAGCAGAACAACTCTAGAATCTGAGATTCAGCAATCAACAAGATGGTTATAGTTCTGTCTTAAGAGAGCTTACATTCCAGAGAACAATTACCCAATTAATTACTTAATTACAATTGTAATGAGTGATATGAAGAAAAAATACAGATGGCTGCCCTTGATCTGAACCAAGTCAGGAAAGATTTTACTGAGAATATAGCTTTGAAGCTGAAACCTCACGGAAGAAGAGGTACTGCCCGAAAGAAGAAGGTGGAGAATGGAGAGTTCTCTGAGAGGAGGAACAAAATGCAGGTGGCTCTCTGATATGAGTAATGTTTGCTTAAGGAAATTACAGGACTTACCTGTTCAAGTGCTCAGAGTGAAAAGGTATACAAGATAAGGATGGACAGTTAGGTGGGACCTGGTGAATTATATTACGGATTTGAGACTTTACATCAACAACAGTAGAAACTTACTAGCTTTAACAAAAAAAAATGAGATCATAAATGCATTTTCAAAAGAACACTTTGATCTTCTATGAAGAAAGGAAATGAGGGCACTAAAGTCTAGGGAAATAAGAATGAATTTATATATAACTAGTGGCCCGATCCATGAAATTCGTGCACATTAAAAGGGAATTAGAGAAAATATTTCAATAGTGCTATTTGCCCTTTCTCTATAATAGAAGTGTCAGAGATGAAAGAAAATTAGTAAAATGTATATGAAAATCTCCCTCTTGTCAGAGTCATGGGTGCACCACAGGACCCAGAGCCAAGTCTCCACCTACCTGGGTGTGCCTCAAAATCACGTGAGACCCAGACTCGGCTGGCCCCACCCCTGTCAAGCCCTGCGGGGCAGGAGGCTCAGCCTCAGGTCCCTCTTCAAGGCCCACCAGGCGGGGGGTGCAGCTTCAGGTCCCCTGGCCTGGCTTGAGGAGGCAATGGCATGACGACTATCTGCATATTAGTTCTTTATTATATGGGATGGTGACTTCATCAGGGTTAGGTTAATGGAGTGGTCGGATCAGAACACAATGGGGTAAGTAAAAGGAAGAGGAAGAAAGGGATACAAAAAATATAGCAAATATAGCAGTTGACATATGGCAGTGAATAGAGATACAGGACCAAAGCTAAAGATAGATGTGATGTTCAGGAAAGATTTCTTAGTAATTGGTTGATTAGTTAGTTAGCTTAAGATAGAACATATCTGCGTAAGTGCTTATGGGAAGAGGTGAACAGAGTGGGACAGGTTGAAGATACAGGAAACAAAATAATTAACAAAGTTCCCTAAGAAATTACATAAGAGCTAATATTTGCATGGCTGGGTGGCTCATTTGATTGGAGCATCATCCCGTACACCAGGGGATTGTGCATTTAATTCCCACCCAAGGCACATGCCTGGGTTTCAGGTTCGATCCCCAATCAGGATGTGTATGGGAGATGGCCAATCGATGTTTCTCTCTTACATCGATAATTCTATTTCCCTTCCTTTCTCTCTCTAAGTGAGTAAACATATCCTCGAAAAGGATTTTTTTAATAAAAGAAGAACTAATATTTATTGAGCATGCACTACATAGCAGGCATTATGCTGAGCATTTATAATAACTTACTTAATAATTTAATCCTCACAACTACTCTATGAGGTATAATAGTAACTTCTTCTTTAATTGAGAAGACCAAATAGAATGATTAATACCTAAATGGGTGAGTAGGCAAAGTGGGATCCAGACCACACACTCTCAACTCTACTGCGAGCACTTTAACTGTTCCACCATTCTGATTTGTGATGGGAGAAGGGGCATGAAGGAAAGGAATCAAAATCTTCTTTCCAAAGTGATATGAGAGCTAAAGGAAAACTGGCTTGAAAAAAAAAGGTTTCAAATCATCATTGTTGGGGAGAGGTCCCTGAACACAAGCTGGCTAGAGAAGCACAAAAAGATTATCTTGCAGTTTAGGAATCTAGTGATATCAACAATCATGAGTTTATAATGCCACAAATATACTATTTTGTAAGTTCTTTTCAACAGTGCTCAGCCACCTTGCTGTCAGCACAATGCAAACAGATAATTAGGTTCGCAGGTGATTATTAATTACAAAGGGGAAAGGCACCTTTACAATGGAGAGAGATACAACAGCTACCATATTTCATTCCTGGATGAAATACAGGACCACCAATAGCAAGACAAGCAGACATTATGTACCAATACGATGCAATAAGCTATGAAGTACTCTGGCAAAAATGTAACATGAGAGGGAATGAGTGGCGTAGGTGCAGGCACATGGCCGGCCTGGAAAACTATGGTGGGGTGGGGAGAAATTAGAGGGGAAAATGCAACACGAAACTAATTAGTAGGACAATCCCAGATAAATCATAAAAATCTAGAATATAGGATATTCTAAAAGACAATTAGCCAGAACTCTTCAAAAAGGTCAGTCATGGTTTTAAAAAAACAGGAGAGGGGAAAGGGGAGGGAAGAAAGGAGGAAAAGAGAGAGATGAGGGAGGCTGTTCTAAGATTA